CATCGTTAAAGGTTCATCAAATTTTCAAAATAAAAATGAGTAAAATTGGACTACATTTTTTTTCACTGTTTCCAACTTCAGCCAAATGACCTACGGACCGGCACTGGCCCCCGAACCGGGGGTTGGAGACCCCTGCAGTAAAACACAGAAATCCCTGTTAAAACACAGAAATCCCTGTTCTGTGTAAGTCTACACCTCTAGTTTGACTTATTTTGTTTAAGAGAATGGTGCAGAGTTGTGTCATCATCTTTTGGGGGTGTACAGCAACTGATGAGGGGAGCTCACTGCTTAACATACTCCGGCTAACACATGAGGCCAACACATGAGGCTAACGTGGTCGCTGTTTAAAATCACAGGCCTTTAAATAGAGTGAAACACACTCAGGTTCCTCTGACTGCCATCAGAGCTTCATGCTGAACTGTCCCACGGGGGGAGACAACGAGCTCCATTTACGGAGGATGTGACACACTTAACATTGTTGCCTTCACAAAACTGAGGTCACCACAGTTTATGGAGAATTATTCTGGGAGGGAAGGGGGGAGTGGGGGGGGGATCGATGACCAGCTCCATTGTGAGAGTAAATAAATAGTGTGTGAAAAGTGTCCAATGGGCAAAGAGTCACAAGACGATGACTGATGAGCACAAGTGTGACTGAAGTGCTGTGACAAATCTGGACTGCAGGTGACGCTGGTTGACCGTTGAGGAAACACGGCAGAGAGAAGAAGAAAAAAAACACTTTTAATCAGGTTTGCAAGTTTGCAAATAAAGATGCATTTAATGACCTGCTGCTGATTAGAATGAGTTGTCTTCCTGAGTGTGTGATGCGTTTAATGACCTGTTGGTGTTAAGACTGAAGAGGTTTGTTCAGCCAGTGGCTTCACTTTTATCTTCATTAGGGAACAACAACAGGAAGTGTTGGCTCGGCTCCTAATGTGCTTCCAGTCTACCTTCTATACCCGTTACTGTTGGCTGGGGTTACTGGACCCTCAGCCTTCTTAGCTGTTCAAAGTCACATAACTAAAGAGGCATTAAAGCACATTTGCGACACCACTAAACAAACAGCGGGGCCTTGGCGAGCATGAGAAAGAGGCGGACGGTGAGAGGAAACAATCTGAGCTTTGTGTGGAGCAGCACCTCTCCACTGCTCCACCGCTCCACCTCACCGTCTCCCATGGACTACAACTTTCCCAGGCTGGATTCTCCCTGTACTAGCAGATGGTGACAATCGATTAGCTGACAGAAAATGCCGACATTCAGAAGTGCAGGGCGAGGAGAGACGTCTGAAAACTGTTTGTATTCATCCGACGCAATGAACGGCCGCTGAAGGAATCCACTGGAAAATTGTAGGTGATCCTAAATCATGGCTGGTTCAAATCCTGGTTGACCACAGTCACACTGACACACAAACAACTGCTGCTGAAAATGAACAGGTCGCCAACAGGTGTCACAATAAACCACTACTGGAACCTGGAGCACGTTGGGTTCAGATACTGATACCAACGAGACGCCGCACTTTCTCCTCTTAGGTCGGTAAATGTACTGTTTGTCGGGGAAAAAAAAAACACCTAAAAAATGTCACGTTCAAACAATGCAGTGTGAGCCTTGATTGATAAATAAATATCTTTATGTCGAATAAAGAACCTGACGCTGTTCATTTTAGCTTAAACCAAACTTTTTTTATCAAAACCAGTTTGTTTGGAGGGTGGATGTAAATGTTAGCTTGAACACTTACTGGTAGCTGTTAGCAGATTAGCATTCAGTGTAATTTCAACCTATAACATTCTTATCCAATCAGAAATCTGATCAATGAATCAGAGACCAGCACAGAAGAAGACAAAGAACAAGTTGGACAATCACCGTGGACGTCTAATGGACGGAGACGCAGCTGCAGCCTTGATGGACACCACTGTTAACAACACTCACATTATCAATACCCTCACATATTGATGGAAATGACACAGACTGGGCGGCTGCGGGGGCGTGAACTCCAGCGTTCATATCTGAAACGTTCCTTGTGACCCGCTCGTGAAGTCAGCCTCTGGGAATCGATCGATCCGCAGCCAAACAGCGTAAAGCGTCTGAGGACGCCCTCAAAAAAAAAGAGGGGCTTTAAGTGCATGGGGGGTCTTCACTTTCCAAGTTATGACCAGACACTCCCTGAGGTCAGAGTTCAAAGGGCATCAGACCAGCCAAGGTCGGCCCACATTAACATGGCAACAGAGTTAATTCCATTTCCAGACAACAGAGCTTTCACAGAAAAATGAAAAGCTTTTAAAGAGCGGTAAATTTGGGACGGCAGCGAGAGAGAGCTAATCGAATCATCGTCTGATTTAACTGCCAAAGTATTTTCCTCTGCGTCTTTAATCGATACTTAAGACTCATGATACCCGGGTCAGCGGCGGAAT